CATTGGTCTTTAATACTAAACAACATTAAATATAGTCATTCAGAGATTTTCAAGCTATTTCTCTACAATCAAGTCTTTTCCCTGCATTTCCACTGTAACGTAAAATTTTATTTACACAATATTTTGGAAACTTACTGAAAGGAGGAGGGTTTCCCCACAGATTTAGATCATCTAAAAGGTGCTTTTAATTATTAACCTTTTCATATTTACTATAAAGACATTGCTTAAACCTTAAACTTTTACCAAGGTGTCCCATCTCAATTACAGCTCCTGCTGATGAGGTTTGGCAGACTCCTCTACCTCAGCTGCCTAAAACACATGAAAGCCACATTACTGGGGGGGTATGTATGTATGTGTTTGTATTTTTTAGCATATGAAAGCTTGCACTGAAACGACATCACCTTACACTCATTTTTTTCTTTTTTCTTTTCTACTAAAGATGCAGCCACAGCACCTGGGGAGGAAAACTGTCAATGTCACATGTTGAACAGGAAGTAGAGAGTCTCAGGAAGCTCAGTAAAATTAATTCTGAAGTAACATAGCATACACAGGGAGGGTGGAATTAAGCCTCCAAAAATCTTAAGAGCCAAACTGATGGACTCTGCCTAAGCAGCCTTGGTGGCACTGCTGAATGAAAACCTCTGTTTAGTAAGTACCAAGAATAGCAAGAAGTTTGGATCTAATAGGAGTAAGTTGGTGAATTATATGAAAAAATATTCTAGTGACTTTTGATCAATTGCTGGAACAGTTCTGGAATACTCAATATTCTCTCAGATTTTCACTTTCAAAAAGAATTCACTGCCTTCATGGAGTTTAAGAGAAGATTTCAAAGACACTTACCCCCTCCTCTAGGGAAGATGCAAATGAGTGGGCTGGGTTAGCTTTGAAAACAGAACAACATGAGGGAAGGATAAGGGAAAGAAGAGTAAAGGGAGAAGATAAAGAACTTTATTCTGTTTTTCAAATTTCAAAAGCCCAAGAGGGACTACTCAGTGAAATTAAAAGATAGATTAAAAACAGACAGAAGGAAACACTTTTTCACATGATGTGTAGTTAAAACTGCAGAAAATATAATTACCACAGGAAGCACTTCAGTCAAGAGCTCAGCAAGATTCTGATGGGTTTGCAGATGTATAAGGATATCAAACATATCAAGAGCAATTTAAAACTGCTGGAAGGCACATGTATTTCTTCAGGGAAAACTGCCCAAGCATTTTAAAACTTCACAAAGAAATGTGCTAATCAGAGTGAGATACAAAGAAAAAGGTCTCTGCAAGATAATGCACCCACAGGATGCCATTAAAGAAATGTCACCTCCTCCTAAATCCTTCACACTCATGCTCTCTCCCTCCCTTTAAAGGAACAGCACAGAAAGGGATCACATGAGCCCCACTGAAATACCAGTTCTTTTATGGTACTGTCTGAGATGAAAAGGTGTCTCTCAGCCATCTCCCTGGCATTTCAGCCACCTTCAGCCTGGCCAGTCAGTCTATGTGGAAATGTATATTCACCTTCAAATTCATACACGTGGACCTACAGGTAGCTGTATTGTTTCTGATTTTCTGAGCTCAGATTGTTTTTTAAAGCAGAAACCATCACGTAGTATTTCTCATCTTGCTTTTTTACACAACTAAGTAGTCATAGTAATGATATTTTCTTCCTGTTATATCAAGTTAACTGCACCTGCGCTGTCACGTGTCAGAGAAAAGAAAATCTAAAAACTGTGAGGTCTTTCTCATTTGAATGAAACAGTTTGACAACAGCACAACTGAGTGCAAATGACAGTAAAACATAGGGAAGCATTTAACGTCCCTATGTTAATGGTACTGTTAAGGAACTCTGACACCGAATTTATAGCCTTCCTAACTGATACCTTCCAGTGCATTTTTTTTCCAGGATCACTTTTCCACCAGTTTTAGCCTGTTACTTTACATCCTGTCCACCAGCCAGGAAGAGATTATTCTCTTTGTAGCATCTTTCTATGTAGCATCTTTCTATGCATTTTAAGATGTTACCATATCCCTTGAACTCCAAATTACATTACACTATTGCTAACACCAGTGCTTGATGTTACCCTAGCAATGAGACAGTAGCTGATACTTGGTATATAAGAAAAGGAATTTCCTGAAGCATAAGAAATGTCACAAACCCAAGTTTGGCAAGACTGGCTTGAAACTCTGAAATGCTAATTATAACCCTCACTTAGGGTTATATGTATTCCAGCTTCTACTGGAATGCAGAGTTACTGCTACTAGGGCTTCAATTGTCTCCAGTGTTGAGAAAAGTCCCATCTCCTCTCTCTTTATACCCCTTTCAGCAATGGAAATCTTTTCACCTTACCTTTGTTCAAACTACTACAAGGCTTTCCTAATCTCTCTGCTTCATATTCAGCCTTGTAAAGATAGTCTGTATGTAACAGACTGGGAAATACAAACCTATATAGAGACTGTTTCATAGGCTGCACAGTAGTGGAGTCACATCTTTGCCTTCAGGTCACCCCATACTCCTAAACATCCAGACTTGCAGCACAACATTCAACTCATAGAGAATCAATGGAAAAAAATACCATGTGCTGCCATTAATCCTCACATCAGTTGTCATCTTAGAGACGCAATCTCTCTAATTGTTTGCCTTTGAAACTTCAAAGAATAAAATCAGGAATAAAGTAACACACCTGACAATACAAGAATAACAACATTCAACTATATCTGACTCTCTATAAACCACCCAATTCCTCTGAAAACATACAGCCAGGAAAGGTAAAACTAAAATCTGTTACACCTTCACTAAGCTCATCAAACTTTTAAAATTTTAAAAACAAGCGTTCCTTTCAAAAGCAAGAGGGAATAAACGGTATAGTATTATTGAGCAGTGAACTGTAAGAGCAACCTTTTAAGTATTCAAGGTTCTTCCCAGCTCTCTGACAAAGAAACTAATAATAAAATCCTAATTTAGCTTTCAAGTATTAACTATTCACCATAAGATCTCTTCTTCTGTTTATTTATTTGTTTGTGAATAAATGGAGATACAATCTGCACAGGATCAAGAAAGAAAGTGAAAAACATACAACAAAACAGTTGTTGCATTCAAAATGTTTTCTACAGTAGAGGTATCTTTGCAAAGAAATAGAACATGAAACTAGTCTGAGGACTGGTTAGATGGGAAGACACTCACTGGAGGAACACTGGAGGTCTGTGTACATGCGAAGGCAACAGCCTTAGCTGAGCTCGGTAACAGGGTTGTGATTAGGATACTCTGGAAGCAAGCTGAGCTTGTTGTATAGGTCAGACTAATTTTTTTCAGTTACAAATGATGGTATTACAAAATACTGGTGGCCATGCATTTCTGCTGATTATGAAATACATTATCTGCAATTAAAAAAAAAAGAAGTATAATTTCTGGTGCCTCAAAAGAACGAAGTGACCACTTTTTGATGTTTAATGGAAGGAACAGAGAAAGAAACATATACTACAGGGAGAACATGGGAAGGACTGAAGCAACAGGGAAATTTCCCAGGGATGTTTATCAATTGCCTGTCCAAAGAAACATCAACAACTTTAAATGACCTTTAGTGATTTTCTTTCCATTACAGTGTAACAACATCTCAAAGGCCACTCACTGCCCATCCTCTCACCTACTTACCTTGGCTCTGCACAGCTTCCATGAGAAGTTCAACAGTAACAGCTGACTGGCAAAGGTGGAAGGCAAAATAAATCTTAAGTTTCCTGCACTTCCAGAAGGTTAATGTGCCAGCTTGCAGACACCTTTGAAAACTGTCTTGTTCCATCTCCTTGATCCCAAACATGAGGTTTCAGCAATCTCTTTGCTAACAGAGCTTTTATACTACCTTCTACACAGATAAACAGAAGAAACTTCCACCTTCCCAAGTCCCGTTATTTCATTCTACTAACTTCACAGTATGGGACAGACAGGGCAGATGACAGTCTCTGACAGTGAAAAAACAGCTTTATCCCATTATGTGTGCAGAAAGGACATAGCTGTGTAACTAAAAATCCCTTGGTTTCAGTAAATTCGCTGTTCTTGCAACAGACATTCCAGTTTCCCCACTTTGCTTTTAGTCTCTGTTACTGGTGCCTATGCACAATTTGAACATCAGGCTTCCAGGATGCTCTTCCCTCAAGTATTGCTCTCCTTAGGAAATCATTCAGCGTGCATCGTAATCATACTGGAAACTCTGCTTTCACCACATTTTCATTAGGGTATCTATTTTTTTCTCTTTTATTTACCATTGACATAAATAGTAAATTCATGTAATTTAAATGGTAAATGGTAAAAATTGTCAGTTTATTCCCCTTTCCTTTTCCAGCTATAATTCTACGAACAGCAGTTCCAATTTCATCATCTTCTTGCTTTCTGAACCCCACGAATGGTTAAATATTTTGTGCTGTTCTACATTTAGCCATGCATAAAATAGTAATGTCAGTGTATGGGGATTGCTCTAGTCCCTGTGCCATAAACAAGACCTCTACAAGAGGACAAACCCAATGGGACACATTTACAATGAAAGCTACAAATAGAGAACTGTTTTTTCAGGCAGATAGTAACTTTTTTCTCTGACTAAATCTGAAAATGTTAGTAAAATTTCCTTGTCAGCTAGGATTCAGCTCCAAGATTGCCTACTACACCCTCATTCAGAGGTACTGCCACCCCTCCAGACTGCTCCACTTTACCAACAGTGCCCTCGTGTCGATTTTTAGAAGTGTTAAGAAGAGATTCTCTTAAAAATGCTGTGAACTGCAAAGTTTTGATTTTAAAATACTTCATGAACTCTTGACTGTTTCAACAAAATTGGCTTAAGCACACGCCAATTAAAACAGAATTACGCTTAGCATACCATGCTACATTCCTAAATGCTCACTACCTTTCCTAAATGCTGACTAGCTTAATGCTTAACAAATTATGCAGATTTGTCAGGTCAGATTAAATGGTGAAAGTACAGAGGCACCTTCGTTTTCAAACATGAGTGAGTTTACCCTTACCTGTTTTGAGATTTCACTTCTTTTCCAGATACTCTGGAAACAGGAATTTTCTGTATTTTCCTTATATTCTTGTGTCCTGTGAGGAAGCAGTCACCAGAAGCAGCTAAAGAATTTTAATCTCAAGAAATTTCTGGGGCTTTTCCAGTAGCTATCTGTGCTTGCCTTGCACTTTTTCATTAATTATTAACCACATGTAGCACTATGTTCATTAGCCTCGTCAGGCATTTTTTCTCAACAAGGGGAAAAAAGAAAACTTGTGAATTCCCTCAGTTCACAGGCATTTGGATGGGAGGGACACGGGACTTTTCACTTACAGAGCATCAAGTAAAAATACCCTGGGTGCCAATAGGAGGTGGAAAGGTGGAATAGGAAGACCCAACAACCCCAGCCGATCTGAAGCCAGGGAATTACATTGATGAAAACGTCTACATAAGAGATGCCTGGCGGTTCGCACTGGAAAGCAAGCGAGACAACCCCACGACACACCAGAGCACGACCCATACGGTGCAGCGCCTGTCTTGCCGGCACCAAGGGCAGAGCTTAGCCAGCGGTCCCCGGTACTGCCGAGAGGTGGAACCCTCACGCTGGCAGACGGGAGGCACGCTTCCCTTGGCGGGGAACGGGACTGGAGGGAAGGGGACGGGACTGGCATCCCAGTGCCTTCGGGGTCGGCCCGGCCCGGGGCTGTAGGCAGCGCCGCCATTTGCAGCAAGTGCCCCGGGCGCTGGCAAGTAGCCGGCCTTCACTGAGAGCTGTTTTACTGCTGCTTCACAGAAGACAAGGCTCAAGGTGCAGCCCTGCTCGGCTGCCGCCATAAAACAAAGCAAACCAAACACAGCGAGAAAACCCTCGCGTGTAATGCACGACTTGAGCCCCCACACCGACCCGGCCCGTCCGTGGCCGCCCTCTGCCGGGCTGGCCTGGCTTGGGCTGGCCTCCCAGGCGGTGGAGGAGGAGGGTTGTTGGAGGCGTGGAACAGGGAGACAGGGGCTCTCTGCACGTGGAGTTCACCGTCGTGGCAGACCAGGTTCCTTCAGCTGTGAAATGAGGCAAAGTCCAGGCTTTACTTCAGCTGGCCTGCGCTCATGTCACAGACATATTTAGCTACTCATTAACTTACTTTTCCTTTTGGAATACTGGTACTTTTTTTTTTGGTCCTGGTTCACTCCAGGATTTAAACAAGTCAGAAATGAAGACTGGGAATGAGCAAAATGGGATTTCACCATCACAAGCTCCAGTCTGTTGGAAGGGCTCAGAGCCTCTCATGGGTCACTAGCTTCTTGGGTCCTGGGTGTGCTGCTCACTCTGGCGGGCTTCTAGGCCCAGCCACCCTTCAGTATGTGCTGCTGGGGAGCAGGCTCCCCAGAGCTGCCCCAGGGCCAGACTGGGATGAGCACCAGCAGTTGCACTGTGGCAAGATATCACTTCCTGGGTGCAGAAACTGTTGGTGAAGGTACGCATGTAGATGCTCATGTACCCAAGAGTTGGGCCACTGAGGAACACCAGAACAACCAACAAGTGGATAGATCTGCTAAGACTGAAATGGCTTATGTGAGGTATATGGGAATGATTCGTGTCAGAAACTTAGGAGTCCTTGTCATCATTGCACTTTGGGAGGAATCGAAAATCATGTGTAGAATGTATAGGAATGATCAGATTAAGATGGGAGTTCCTGTAAATACAGTGATGAAAGAAAAGAAGGAACAAAGGAATAATCCTTCCCAATCAAAGTCTTTGTTACTTTAAGGGGTACTTTGTTTAACTACTTGAATGTCTCAGATGCTTTGCTAACTACAGAGGGTGTTTTGTTTAACTGCTTGAATACCTTAAGGGGGTTAGGTAATAAAGGGATACATTCTGTTAGGGGATGAGGTGAAACTTGTGTATTCGATATGTAACTATATGAGAAATGGAATTGAGGGGGCTAAGATAGTGGTTAAGCTTGTGACAGACATTCCCTGTTAATGTATTGCCAAGGAATACAATGACTTTTTAAGAAGTTTCATCACCCAAAGATAAGATCCCAGCAACAGGAGGAGAACAATGAAAAAGAATCACGTCAGTATTTGGGTGAAGGAGACGACAGGATTGGCTGAAACCCAAGACCGAGGAGTATAAGAGACTGTACCCCTGAACTCTCGGTGTGTGTTGCTGGTGGAGTGAAGGCTCCCCTGCGCACCCAGTGCTGCTTGCTTATTGCCTCTCAATAAATTGTAAATAAATTAAATTTGGACCAAAACCCTCTCTATGCTAAATTTTTATAACACTTAGAAGGACTTAGACTGGCAACATAAAGGTGAATTATTTTTGGCCCGGTGGGCCCATGACACTTCAGGCCATCAGGGCAGAGATGCAACATACAGATGGGCTCATGATTGAGGGGTGGACTTAGCAATAGACACTATGTTTTTAGTTGCTGCTCAGTAATGTTTAGTCTGACCAAGGACTTTCAGAGCCTCATGCTCTGCCAGGGAGGAGGGGAAGCTGGGAGGAAGCAGAGACAGGACACCTGACCCAAACTGACCAAAGAGGTATTCCATACCACAGCACGTCATGCCCGCTATATAAACTGGGGGTAGTTACCTGGAAGGGTTAGATCACTGCTCGGGTCTGGCTGGGTATCACTCGGAGGGTGGTGAGCAGTTGTATTCTCTTCCCTTGTTATTTCCCTTATCATTATTATTATTGGTGGTAGCAGTAGTGATTTGTGTTATACCTTAGTTACTGGACTGCTCTTATCTCAGCCCATGGGAATCACATTCTTTTGATTCTCCTCCCCATCCCTCTGTGAACGGGGGGAGGAAGGGGTGGGAATGAGTGAGCAGCTGCATGGTTCTGGGTTGCCAGCTGGGCTTAAACAACAACACAGGATTAACCTCACAAGAATGTATAGCAAAAGCTTGTTATGTTTTGAATTTTTAAGATTTGTCTGGTTTTGATTCTCTTTCTGCATTACTTGAGCTTGTGACAGGCCAGACTGGGATGAACACCAGCAGCTGAGTTGCTCTTCCCATTCTTTGGATTTAGGTTAGATTTATATTTTTTAGAATTTGGCTTGGGTTAAATATAAGGAAGTTCTTCACTGTGAGGGTGGTGAGGCACTGGAATGGGTTGCCCAAGGAAGTTGTGGCTGCTCTACCCCTGACAGTGTTAAAGGCCAGGTTGAACTGGGCTTTGAGCAATCTGGTCTAGTGGAAAGTGTCCCTGCCCGTGGCAGATGATTTTTAAGGTCGCTTCCTACCCAAACTGATCTATGATACTATGATTATCTCCCTGCCTGACCAGCAGTGGGTGGCTGGGGAGAGCCTTGTCAGCTGCCCTGGTGAGCCTAGGGCCTGGTCTGCCTGCCCTGGTACACCCAACTCTCCCTGCTGCTCTGCCAGAGTGTCCAGTGAGAAAAAAACACTGGGCTTCAGCAGTTGCAAACCCCTTTCTGTTCCTCAATTCTCACACAGGGGCAGAAATGTTGCATTTTACCTGAGAAAAGACTTCTCAACACACCCCTGTGCATCCCTGTACAAAAAAGCTTTGAGATACCCATTTATGCACAACTTTTAGGATACCTGCTTCTGACTTGCATGTGAGCAGCATCTATTCCCAGTTTAGTGCTAGGCATAAGCTCAGCTCAGTCCGTGTCATTTATTACCCTGTTTTGGGGCTGAATGAAGCTGGACACTACCCTTGTACAGCTCCAGGTCCTGACAGGCTCTGTTCTGCTGTGAACCAGGCAGCACCTCCAGCAAACCCTGCCAGTGGCAGGCTTGTGCGGGGGGACACAGCTGTCACAGACCCTGGAGGCATCACCTTGTGGGTGGTAGAGAGCAGATTCAGTGCTTACATGGGTGTTTCTCCAAGGGCAGCCTTAATTCAGTCAAAAGGAGCCTGCTTTCTTGGGCTTTCCTCATCTGTTAGTGCTAGCTCCAGTTGTTTCTGTACGGCCAACATGTGGACACGGGTACTGGATCAAGTATAAAAACTCTCTAGCTCTTGTCTTAATACTTACCAGTAGATGCGTAGGGAAAGAAGAGTACAAACATGGTCTGTCAAGTAATGATTCTTCCCCTGAAGACTGCTGCTGGCACTGGATAACGTGTTCTGTGGACTTCCAGAGGGAAAGATGGTATTTCTGTAGTCAGTGTTCATCCGCTGAGTTTTCTGTATCATGATGGTTAAGCCCTTTGTGGACCTATGTGAACTTTTGCCACGTGGTACATTTCGTGTTGGAGAACGCTTACAGGCTGCTTACAAGAAGCAGCCTATGAAGAAGTATTTCTGGCTTTCCTGAACACTTGCCCCTGCATGCTTCAGGTGATGGCCTGCAGTGTTTTGATTGGAAGAGATTGTAATTAAATGTTTTGTATTCTGCTCAGATGCTTATATTTTTCTATAAGTCCATTATACTACCCTCAGTCTATGCTTTCTAGTTGGCTGAACTGTCATACCATCCTGTTTGCTCTTCCTTGTTTCTCTTCCATTTTCACTGCATCCTAAGCTTCCCTTTCTGCTCCTGTTGTAGGAGTTCCTGTTCCTTTCAAGGACAGTAGCCTCTAGGGTTTTGTTCATGAAGGTGTGCAAACAAGCAGGAGGGTCAATGCTTTCTCAGGCACACTGTCTTCTCTGAAGTGCTCTGGTATCTAAAGCAGGCCAAATCCTTGTTCCAGCAATTCACTGTAAATGTTTGAGTCAACCTTTATAAGCCTTCAGCAATTTTCACCCTCGTTTAACCAGCTGTTTCCACATGCCACATAGTCTTAAGTGAAAAAAAACTAATTAATTATTCTACACACCAGCTCCGTAATTATGAATTTGTTTTATTCCATAACTAGCTGTGTGGCAGGGTAATTTTTCAAGAAGCTCTAATCCTCACAGCTTGCCTCATTTCTGTATTTGTTTCTGTCTTTGGACCTGATTCTGAGAGTACTACAGTAACCTGAAAACAAAGAATTGCCAAGAGTCATGCAGAGCACGTGAATATCCTGCAGAAGTTCAGCAGCAAAGAGATGTATTATGGAGGAAATCAAATACTGAAAGGTATAACTAAAGTATGTGAATATAGGATGCATCTAGCATTCTTTGTGGGGCTATGAAATTGTACCTTTTCAGTACTGAGCTTAGCCATTTGCTTTAAACATTGTTACCATTGTTGGCATACTTCTACCTTCCTTTTTTCTTGATGGCAGTTGAACAGACTGTTTTGGCAGGTTGTAGAGAACACCAATTCCATAGCTGTTTCTCTGCTTGATATCACAAAATACCAATCCTTACACCTCTGGAGAATGTGTTTCACAAGGCAGATAAAATGGAAGGCTTTACATAGAAGTGTCTTCACAACTGTGAGGGAAGAGGAGGGAAACTGACTCTATGGGACGGGCGAGCAGCACTAAAGCATCACACCACTGTCTTCACTCTGTTCCTAGTCATATCTAA